TTTTATGCAAATGAATTAAAGATTTTATATATTATATATAATAAGTCTATATTATCTATACTAATTTTGAATATGTTACATGGGTTTCATTTGAAGTTATGAATTGTCATGTGTTAATTTGTCACTAGTTTCCATCTGTGGTCATTCTACATTAAGATGAGGACCGGAAATATTTTGGTACACTTTTGCAAGCCACTACCCCACAAAACCTGTATAAAGTCATTAGATGCAGAAGTACAATCTGTGAGACATAAGTTATGAAACGGTATCTATTTATAGCACTGGAACTTTTTTTTTTTTTTTGTAAGACAAAATTCATAATTCATCAATGCTTAGGAGCACAATATTTATGAAGCTGTCAAGGAATTATTGCACTGTTTCAGAATTACACTGGTGAGGTTCACTCTCCCCTGCAAAAACTGAGTTAGTCTCTCAACACAACTTTCACGTTCCCCTTTCAGCCCCAGCCCTCATGACCGACTTATTAAGATCACTACATCCATAAGCAAGATGAGACACACACACACACACACACCCGCAGACACATTTCTTGACTGTGTGCAGATCATTAGCGGGCTGAAAGCAGCGGGAAGAAAAGCTGGTTTTCTCTCTGCATGCTGGGTGCCTAAACCAAGAGATCAGGATTTGCAGTGGACCATGGTCTCACCAGCAGAGCTTTCACAGAACATAAGCAAGCACTCAGCCAAGACTTGTCCATTTCATATTCACCACACCAAGGCTTTCAAACTGGCAAAACCTTGCAAAGCACATGTTTTTCGGACCCAATGTGACAGATCTCAGGTACTTACTAGCTTGCATCAGCTGTCCTTGGCGGCCGAAGACCTGGGAAAAGGTGGTGGGAGTACAAGTGAGAGTGTCCTCCATGGTTGGGATGTCCCACTAGGCTTCGGAATGACACGCCACGCAGAAAAGCACCGGTTTGTTGTCCGTCCCTTTTGACACACACACACACACCCGCAGACACATTTCTTGACTGCAGGCAGATCATTAGCGGGCTGAAAGCAGCGGGAAGAAAAGCTGGTTTTCTCTCTGCATGCTGGGTGCCTAAACCAAGAGATCAGGATTTGCAGTGGACCATGGTCTCACCAGCAGAGCTTTCACAGAACATAAGCAAGCACTCAGCTGAGACTTGTCCATTTCATATTCACCACACCAAGGCTTTCAAACTGGCAAAACCTTGCAAAACACATGTTTTTCGGACCCAATGTGACAGATCTCAGGTACTTACTAGCTTGCATCAGCTGTCCTTGGCGGCCGAAGACCTGGGAAAAGGTGGTGGGAGTACAAGTGAGAGTGTCCTCCATGGTTGGGATGTCCCACTAGGCTTCGGAATGACACGCCACGCAGAAAAGCACCGGTTTGTTGTCCGTCCCTTTTGAGAACAGAAGCTGGAGCAACGTTGCAGCGGTGTAAGAATAGCACAGAGGTTTCTGCTCGGGACGGAGAGAAATAGCCTCAATCACATGCAAGATAATGAGGGAGTGTGTCTGTGTGTGTGTGTGTGTCAAGGAGAATGAGTGAGAGTGTGTGCGGAGAGCGAGCTTGAAAGAGAGAGAGAATCAGAGCAATGATGTCTTGCCTTTTCCTGCTGCTCTGTGACCATGTGTTGAGGTTGTGCCTCGCTGGCAGGTTTCTCCAGCGTACTCTGTCCTGCTGACGGAGTGAGAAACCTTCGCTTCCCCCAGGCTCAGGGTGGACTGGCGTTTGTTGTGCTCTGATCGGGTGCGTGTGCCCTCTTCTCTCCTCCCTCTGCCTCGGCTCTACCCCTCCCTTTCATTTCTTGCTTTCTCTTCTCTCTCCCTTCAACTCGACGATCTGTTTCATAAGAAGCACTGCTGCAGGGAAAAGATTTTTTTTTTTTTTGCAAATCTTGCAGCTCTGCTTTTTAATTCCTCCTCCTGTGGAGGAGTGGTTGAAAAGGATAGTTCATTTTGGGTAACTCACCCAACGGTGGCAAAATATCAATTAGCATACAATGAGAAATATTAATAGGTGGGATATTGGGATGTACTGACCTACAGTGACCCCCAAAATGTATTTGGACACTTAAAAATGTATGAATGTCTGCATTATATAACAAACTATCAATCCTGGTAGGAAATATATAATACATCCAGTAAAATGACCTTGAGACTGGTAGTTTAATCAATAAATGGGGAGAAAAGCAAAGAAAAGTTAGGTTAGAGAAAAGTATAGCATTATTTATTTGCACATGCCATTAGGTTTGATATTTTATATTTGATGCAACAAGATTGTCATTTCTAGGCGTCTTCGTTGTCGCTTAAAAATGATCACATTTTCCAAATAGGCCTAATTAATTCCAATCCATCTAAATTCAGATATATACATATACACACTTTATTTTAACGTGATGTAGTTACATGAACTTACTATAAACAATAACAGTAATTATAAGCAACTAACTTTAAACCAAACAACCTTAACTCTATAGCAAGTTTAAATTAATATTACTCAGTAATAGTAATAATAACGCCGTAAATTTGTGTAATTATACTGTAACATCACCTTAAAATAAAGTGTAACCTTCAATTTTCCTTGCAACAAATTATTCATCCAATATAGCTGTTAAAGACCCATCTAGCTACATTTCAGGATAAAGTAATTATTGCTACAAAAGTCTGTTTCATTCTTCTATAAACTTTGGCTGGAAACATTTCAGCATTCATTTTAGCCGTTTCCCCATTTGTCAGATTTTCCCATGAAAGCTGTGTGTCAGGTCAGCGTGATTGTTGAATCCGCTCTCTGCCATAAGAACATGGAAGATCTGCAAGTGTAGTCATATCCTCCTGTTTTAAAAGAAAAGACGGTCAACCTGATATTATGTAACATCCAGCTACATCAGCTAGTCATGAAGTTGAAAGGTGACTGGTTTACACAAGGACAGCCTGCAGTGCCACAGTGGTGAAAGAGAAGGTAATTTTATATTCTTTTTCTTCCTTTTATATCAGCAAACTCTGAAATTTAGACTTGTGACAAAAGACACAGTGAGTTTCACAGCTTTCAACTGACAGATAAGGCAGATGCCGAGTGGCTGGTGCTCACTGGAATTAATTCCCTCTGTCTAACTGAAGGTTCACTCAAATCAAATTCTTTTTGAACATGAACTGAGGAGACATGCAGATAGTAAGCTGTCAAGCTGGGGAGGGTAGAGCTGTTCCTCCAATGCATTTTCCTGCATAAAGAGATCATTCTCTCTCTCTTTCTCCATCTCACTGTTCTTCTGCTGCCCTCAGAGGCAGAAAGGTATTTGATAAAGTACAGCAGCACAAACATCCTCAGCCTACCTAGTTACGTAAGCCAACAATATTTAGAATGGTCTCTGAACGTAGAGATGAAGTAATATTGTGCAGCAATACAGAGAGCAATAAAACTAGCAGCAAATCTGAGGTTAAAACTGAACAAAGAATCAAAACCATTTATATAATTAATGCAAGGTCTTAATGCGAACAATTCATTGGCGCAAGGGCAAGACGAGTTTAAATAAAAATCTCAATCTTCTGAAATGACAATTTTTTCACAGATGCCACACACCACTGTAAAAAAACATTTTTTTTTTGAAGTTGTAAATGAAACTACTGTTTTAGTCTTTCTACTTCAAAATTTCATGTTTAATTCAGTATGTTATCTGCCTTTCTTTGTAACTAAGATTTATTAGCAATTTCTGGGTTAAAATAGTTTCTACACCATTTTTTTCAGTGCATGACATTTTTAAAAGTTGTAAATATAACAGATTTTTGTAGTATGTTTCACAAGAAAATACTATTTTAGTGTATCTACTTCAAAAATGTTTTTTTTTACTTCAATGTTTTAGTTGCCATTTCTTTGTAATTGTTTTGGAATTTTACTAGCAATATTTCAGTAAAAGTGTTTTCAATTTTTTTTCAGTACAGTATCTGATAATGGATAATAACCAAATGCCAAAATTAAGGCATGGTTTTTAGCAAACTTGCACTGTATTATGTTTTCATAATCTAACCAATTGCCCATTTTTAAAAAATCATTCCCAACTTGATTGGTTTGATTCACAGAGAAATCCCAGTCTTATTTTTACAGAGGTAAATAGTATTGCAAATTACACTTAACAGCAAAATTTGATGTATAATAAATGTTAATTGGGTTTAATAAAAGATGGGTCTTGCAAAATGATTGAGGAAAAGAATTTCTTGTGTGTACCATGCATATGCATATCTTAGCTCCATTTCCTCATCTTAATGTACTGCATCGAACAACTCGGAAGCTGCATGGGGCTGCATTTTTTATGACTAGGGCTATGCCACCTTGCACAGCAATCAGGATTAAGTGTGACGATATTTCATCCTGTCAAGCTGAGCATAGCATCACGCACCTCTTCTCTCCCATGCACAGCATCGAGGAACCATAAACCACAGCATTGGCCCATGGAGGAACCATAAAAAAGATGTCCTTTGCCTGCTACATAAAGATCTATCCTGTATAACGGAACAAACTTGCACTCAATATTCAATTCTTCATTTGAATATTGGCAAGCCAGACAGTTGGAAGAGTACTTACAGCTATTATGAGTATTTAGTCAGGGTTACCTAGCCTAGAAGAGAACTGTATTTCACTTTAATGGCTTTTTTGATGTCAATATGAGATTCTGACAGCCACTATAAAAATGAACTCTTCCAGAGAGATCAAGCTCTCGATAGATCAAGTTTAATTTCGCAAGCCAGGTGATTCAGAGAAAACACTAATATTGGGGGCCTGGACAAAAAACGTAATGTACTATTATAAACAGGTATGCAAAAGCCTCAATTAGTCACGAAGCAATGCAGACAATAGATAGTGATGCATAGGATCAAACCCAAGTATTGACTACAATTCTGACAAACCGAGAGGTACCGTATCTCTGGATACTTTCTGAAGTATTACCTAATGTCAAACTAAAAGCTAAAATCAAATATACACTGAAAAAAAAAAAAAATTTAATATCAATTAGAACAATGCATTTTACATTTGTGAAGGTTATTATTCATAATCACAAAACACGGTCAACATTTCATTCCCAAAAATATATCAATGCAGGACAGCAAAGACACACTGCAAGATGAAAATTCTGCAAAGAAAAAGTAGTATCATTTCAAGTTCCTTGCTTAAAAAAAAACATTTCAAGCATTCAGATCTTGTTCAGATCCCAGTCCTCATTGTCCAGGTGGTAAAGTGGAAATGACACGGCAGAGACAGGCTTAGGAGTGAGAGGGATTTACGCTGTCCAAAGGCAGAAAACGCATCAGTTCAAAGCTTGCCAGGAGGTAGACCACTAAGGATTCTAAGTCCAGTTGATGTTCTATTAAAGAAGAGTCCTTATCCATTTTATAAAAATGAGAAACGATAAAAACGTTTGTGTAATGCTTGGTTACCAAAGAAACTGAGTGCTTGTGGTGGCATCATGGCAATAACGGCTAATTATACTAATAATGCGACATTAACTAGGTCTTATTAGACTGGAAGCAAATTTCTGAGGTTGCCGCAGGCTATGACTAACGTGCTTATAGTATACCAGTGAAAATTAATGCGGTTTTCATAGAGTTTTCAAGCAGGTGTTATCACATATTGTAAAACCACCTCAAACTTTGAGATATCCATAAAAGGCAAATTAGCCTAAATAAAGTGCTTTTCTTCAGAAACAAGTAACCTGATTGACCAGATCACTAAATGTAAGCAAACGATTACATAATTTGGGCTGTAATAATGGCACTTACAACAATTAATTCATTTTCATGCAAGTGCAGAACAGAGTTTGTCATTCCCAGTTGTAGTTTTAGTGTAATTTTAATGGCCAGCAGCCCTGCTGTAGATTCTGTAGATTACAAAAGGTACAGAGAAAAGAAAAGAAGAAATAAAATGGCTTACGGTTTTGGCTGGTTTAGGTGAAGGTCGAATGCCTTTTACATCCAGCAAACTTTTTTCTCCTGCTCACTCTGACTGTATCAAACAGCTCGATTTATTTACTATGACAAAATAAACAAAAACATCAACAATAAAGTAAAAACAAAAAAGCCTCTCAGATGAGAGCCTCAGTATGATAAACATTCCCTGTGAAGGATTACATTTACTTAAATATACATATATACTCTTCAAATAATTTTTCTCAGTAAAAGATGAGCAGGTCAAAATGGAGTACAGTCATGAAGAGAGGATGAGTCCAATCATACTGTATACAGAAGCACATGCATTAGGAAACCACTGGATCCAAATACCTTACAGATTAAATGGGGTGAATTAGTCTAAGAAAGAGAAACTGTTGAATGATTGCCTCTTGCAATACCTAAGCAAAACCAATAGGTCAACATTTATAAATCAAGTAATACTATTCTTAATAGAGATTTATTTATTTATCATATTCTTCAATCCGTTTTGGGGGTAGGGGGTTAAAGGCTTATTTATAAAAGTGCACTGAGAAGAAACTTCCAATGGGCCAACGCAAGACATGAGCAGGGAGATAACTCCTGGTCCCCCTGAACATTCAGGCTGTGATCAAGTTAATCCAATTTAGTTGAAAGAAGTTCCCCTTCCAGTCATTGACTAAAGCAATCCTTTGGAGACTGTGGCGTTCTACCTGGCTAGCTTCAAAAGAGACTCCTAAAATAAACACATTAGGGGAAAAAAAACGTTGAAATCAAACACTCGCAACTATTTATGTAACTCTAAACATATATTATGTTAATGCTAACAGTGAAATTCTACATTACCTCAGACTGTCCTGGTTCTTGGTTTGAGAGGTCTTCAGTCTTCACTTCCAAAGGAGCTGAAGCACTAGCCATCTGTATACTGCGTGTCACTGGCCCACCTTTTCTCTCCCGCGACCTTGTTGAAAAACGTTCCTCCTTCTTAGACTGTGTCATTTTCACGACAGCCTCCTTTTTGACAACAACCTCCTTCTTGACAATAACCTCTTTAGATCGTTGCATCTTAGACGGTGGTCGTGTCGTAGAGTCATCAGTAAGTGCAGGAGTTATTGAAGTCAGTGGCTCATTGCTCTTTTTGCCTTTCTTAGTTTGTGGCGCTGTGTTGTCTGCATTCGAGGCTAGCCTCTTTGTACGAACCTGAGGTGCTTTTCCTTTACTTGCTGGTGGAGCTTCACTCTCAACTGGCTCAGAGCTCCGGGCTCTGGTTTTCCCCAAGGGCTTTGCACTTGGTCCAGAACCTGGTTCTTGTTTGACTTCAGGGTCAGTGGCTCGACTTCGGAGACTCCTGTTTTTGTCTTGAGGTGTCAGTGCGCCTTTTTTCAACTTCTTGGCAACAGGTCTTTGTGGACAGCTGCAAGCGATGTGCTTATTGAGGCTGGCTGGGTATGTGAACTCTCGACTACAGTATGGGCATGCGTGGACCTTATGAGTCTCCTCTTCCTTTACACGGGTTGTCGGTTTCTTTAAAGAGGCAGCAGACTTGTTCTTCTGAGATATGGCTTTCTGGACAAGCTGGTTTTTCTTCTTATTTAGGGCTGATAACTTTGCTTTGGAGGTTATATCTTGGTTAAAGTTGAGCCTTTTTGGTTGACCCATTCTGCGGAAAGCATTCTGCCCAGCAGACTCTCCTGTGGTGGTAAGAAGACCATTCGGAGACTGTTTCACAACCTGTTTAAGAGGAATGGGATTCTTCTTAGGGGTGTAGCGTCTCTTATCGCTAGCATTAGCACAAACTAATATGTGTTTATGTAGCTCAGGCATGTTGTCAAAGCTGTTTCCACATTTGGTACACCGGATTGCAGTGCTAAATGTTTGGGGGATGTTGTGTGTGGTGAAATTAGTGGCGGAGGCAACCGAGCCATCAGGTGTTCGGTTGTGGTACGGGAAAGGTGGAGGCTTAAAGCTGGGGTAGTGTTGATTAATGCCAAGCCGTACATCTGGACCTTTCGGTTTACCAGCCTCAGAGGCCATAATCTTTATTGTAGTGTATAGTTCTTCTGTAGGGTCCTCATGGCCATTTTCCTCCTCTTCTACCTTTTTAGTGTCACTGTTGCGCTCCTCCGAAGAATCCTCAGAGGTAGCTCCAGCAATTGAGGAAAGAACAGCGTCTTTCTCCACATTTGCATATGCAGGATCCGTGTAATTCTGAGGTCTGAGCTTCCCGTTTTCAACGGCAGTGTGAGTGCAACTCTGACTTGGATGTAGGTCACTTTGATGTTGCTGGAGATTGCAGAGGAAAGCAAACTCCTTTGAGCAAATGGAGCAAATATAAATTCTTCCTACCCCATGGAGAGAGGAGCGGTGCTCGAGGAGCGCAGTGGCGTTACCAAATAACTGCACGCAAAACTCACACTTAAAAGGCCACTCTGACGCATGCTCTATTATATGGCCACTAAGGTCTTTGATGGAGCGAAATGGCTCTTTGCAGACGTTACACACAAAACTCTTAACAAAAGTCTCCCGCTCTGGTGTCTCAAACTCGTCAGAACTTCTGGGTGGAGTTCCAGGTGAAGCATTACCCCCATTTGCAGTTATATCAACCGCCCCCTCTTTTTTCACTATATCCTCTACAACCAACTTATCAACCACTGAACTTTTCTGCGGAGAATGCAATTCTCTGAGGAAGGTCGGTGAGGAGGACTCCTTTTTAGGAGTTGATTGTACTGTAGAAAGCGAAGACTTTGATTTGTGTCGGCCTTCTGTTTTATCATTGAGGTCTTGAGGGAAAGTTCCTTCACAGGAATGGCTTTGGCTGGTTTCAGAAGCAGTATCCCACTTTCGGTGAGAAGAACCTGCTTGATCGGCATTTCTTAAAAACTGAGGCTTAGAATCATGGGTTGAGCCCTCATTTAGTGTTTCTGACTTTAAAGATGAATCTGCTGTACAATGTCTTTTTGCATCCTGAGGCAGTGGAGAAATCGCAGGGTCTAACTGCTCAGCAGCTTGGTCTGATTCATTAACAATGGAATTGAATGTATCATGGCATGATTCTGTTAAAGCAGATGAATTCGACACTTCCTCTAAACTATCACCTGCCTTGGGGGACATTTTAGGGGACAACACAGGAAAAGGGGCAGGTGAAGAGGCATCTGACATCCGAAGATGAGGTGATGATAAAGGTGGAGGTGATGGGATAGTGGGTAAGACTGGAGGAGGGGGTGTAGATGATGCTATACTAGATGAAGACGGAGAGGATGGATTAATAGTTATAGGGGTCAGAGAAGGAGGAGAGGTTGATTCACAAGAAAGGCGCTCTGATCCTGATCCGGGACTAGAGGGGCCAACACATGTGGCACTCTCAGAAGATGAAAGAACGTCAGGGCTTCCAAGAGTATTGGATCCTTCATCTCCAGGTGAGTTTAGGCCAGCATACTCGTTCATTAAGACTTTCTCTAAAATGCTGGTATTGGGTTTCTTTCTTTTCACATGTGGCATTAGTGTGGCTGAGCTTGTCTTTAATTCATGGTCGACGGGACTTTTACGGTTCATACTTAAGTCAAGCACAGCCTCTCCACAGCCTTTGCTTACACTATTTTCTTTTTTACTGAAGGAATTCGAAAGGTCAAGCGGCTGCTGATTGCAAGAATTCCCCCCACTTCTTGAAGGAGACCAGTCTTTTCCTGTAAGGCTTACAGCATCCCCATGATCTTTGCTGGACAAACTCCAGGAATGTGTCATGCAATGGCTTTCAATCTTTGGCACCTTCAGAGAGCATGAAACCCCAGTTGCAGAGCTTATGCTGTCATTTATTTGTGGCGGGCTACTCTGTGAAGTTGTGGGAGGGGAGGCAGTTCTTCTTTTAAACTTTCCTTGGACAGCAGGCAGTGAAGTTACGGAAAGCGGGGTGGTCAATCTATGGCTATCTGTAATTAGACCTATGGCTGGTTTCTGACCATCCGGGGCCTGTAGTAATTGTTTGAGTTTTGGAGAAAGATAAACTGTTTTCTCCTTCTGAACAGCTAACGTTTCAGTTGACTGGGAGAAAATGTTTCCTACCAACAAAGAGGACTGAGAGGAAGGGGAGGACAGGGAGGAAGAGGAGGACGCCGTTTCTGTTTCCATTTTCACAGCAGGCAGCAGTGGTGGTGTAGCAGTTCGTCTTTTAGAAGCTGTCTGAGCTACGCATGAAACTTCTTTCACTGGACAAGTCTGTGTTTCAACTTTAAGAGCACGAGTAACTTGTTTGGGACTTAAAATGAGAGCATCAAGGCCAAACAACGCTGCAGTGCTTGAATCAACCTCAATGAACTCACAGTTGCTCACTGTGCTTGTAGATGGGATCTTTCCATCAATGTAATGGCTGAGATTTTCAGAAATGTTGTTAGAGATATCAACCATACACTCCTCTCTCTCTCCTTCATCCTCAGTCTCCACACTGGGCACATAAATTGGTGGTGGACTGGCACTTGGTGACTCTTCCTGGAGCGAAAAAGGCTGCCCTTGTTCATGCTGCTGCTGATGGGAGGAGCCATCTTGCAGGAGCATACCTTTCCGTCGAACACCTTTTGGCATTAGATGCCGCTCATGGATTCTGCGCTGGTGCCTGCGCATGTTGGTGTGTGTGCCGAAAGCCTTGTTACAGTACTTGCAAGGATGAAGCTCTTTTGACTCCCCATTCTCATTCAATATAAAAGGTCGGTCAGATTCAGCACCAGGCTCTTTTTTCAAACTGTCAGAGGTTTGCTGAGGTGGACCGTTCTGTGTGTTCATAATGACTGAATGGCTTGGAGAGGATGCACTGCCAGAGGTAGCAGAATCATTGGGTGCTGTGGGACTGTGGAGGAACGTTGTTCCGCTAAGTGATCCGGGCCTATTTAAAGTTCTACTCCCATTCTCATGTCTACGTTCATGTCTGCGCCTGCCTACCTGAGACCCAAAGGGCTTGGCACAGTACCGGCATTTAAAAGTATGAGTTTGATGGTTTGAAGTAGTGTGAATGTGAGTGTGGCGTTCCAGGCCTTGTTTGGTGGAGAAATGTCGCTCGCAATGCTGACAGGGGTACGTTCCTCCTTGGGGGTCATCCTCAAAATCCCCCTCTGCCTCCAACTCAGGATTCGCTAAAGATATACACTCTGTATCACACAGCGGACTCTCAGAGCTTTCTTCTGCAGGGCTGCCTGAGCGTAAATGCAGGAGAGACTTTTCATTCCCATCAACTGATTCTGCCTTAGAGGGATGCTGTGGGCTCTGATTTAACTGTGGCTGCTGAAGTTGTCCATCATCCTCTGCATTTTCCTCATCCAATCCTTCCCTCTGGTTCATGTCTGTTGTATGAGACTGGACAGGGTTTTCATTTTCCGTAGAAGACGACTGGGAAGCTGCATTCTCCTGTTGCAACTCTGAAGGTGAAGGGGGTCTTTCCTCACCATTAATCCCTGAATTACAAGAAAAATATATATTTAAAAACTAAAAATCACTAGTGAAGTTGAAAATCATTCATCTAAAGGCATAATTCTGTTACACTAACACTACAACTAGGGCTGGAACTAATCCATAAAACTGGTAGAGAAATAATTCTAAACTAATTTCATTTTTGTTTAGTCAGATTTGTGTGCTGTGCATAAAAACCTCCACAAATGATGTCTTTACAGAACTGAAAAATGCATTTCGATAGACAAAACAAATCTAAAAAATAATTGAGATCATAGTGCAGGAAAAGTGCATACCATAAGCCGTTTCAAACTTGAGAATGGTTTATATTAAGTGTTTCAAACAAATCCATAAGCATACAGGTTAACGTGGTTTTCCATTTCAGGTGCTTGAACAGATATGCGCGTTTGTTTTATTTAGCACATAACTTTCATTTTATGGTTATATCCTCATCTATAAATTGTAGACATTTAGCAACACAAGTCAATTTGCACATTGTTTGAAGAATAACCTTGGGCAGGATGTAGAATAACATGTGTTTTTTTTTCATTCAAACACAGAATAATAAATTACATTTGGCTTTTTAAAAAACAATTAAATCAAAGAAATAAGTGACATGTACTGATTATCAAAATAATTGATGGTTGCAGTCCTACTGTTAACTAGGTTTGGGTACCGAAACCCGGTGCCATACCTATGTAACCGGTATGTACTAGAACAGAATCAGAACGCAGATTTCGGTGCCACTTAAGTGCCACTTAAATGCTTGAGCGATCGATTGAAATATTTGTTCTCTGGTTCTCCGATACGGACGTAAGGATCACCGGCACCGCACATGAAAAATTATTTCCCGACTGAGAAAATTCACGAACGTTTTTACTCCACAACTGCTTCCTTTTGTGATCTGATGTGGCTTCTTGTCACAGTATGAATTAAACAGACATTAGCAGGGCTCTACAGTGCGACCATTTCAGTCGCATTTGCCATACGCATTTGCCATACTTTTAATAAAGATAGAAAAATGCCATTACAAAGGTAAAAACAAAATTCTACTGTAAATCACTTTAAGGAGTCAAATATCACCTCGTAATGGGAAGGCTATTTTTTTATCAAATTTTGGTGCTCCTAAATTTTTGACTGTGCTACAAAATTTTTTAAGTTAGGAGCACAAGCGCTCCTAAAAAGAAAAATAAGCGTAGAGCCCTGATTAAGGCCTAATCCTATTTCTACCCCTTAGCTCTTCCCCTTTCCCCTACCCCTCCATTTCGCGTGTTCACGTGAAGGGGTAGGGGTGTCTCGATTCTCTTTTGGTTGGAGGGATAGGGGTAGGGGAAAGGCCAGATAGCCCTTCAAACTAAGATTTTTCGGGACCACACTTCAAACAAAGGGGTATGAATTACCCAAGCGAACAAAGACACATAAATGAAAGCATTATTGGCATTAATAAAGATTTTAATGAAAAGTAATAATTTGTTTTATGTTACATTCAATCGTGTGTTCATATTTACGGTCATGTTATTCAAAGAAATGTTTGCAAAAATCGCTAAAGTTTGCTAACGTCATATCATTACTGACTGCACGATAGTACCACAACATATTTTCATGTCTGATCTGGGCGATAACCACCATAGACATTGAGGGGGGCTAGCCCCCCCCAATAATTAGAAATCGCTAAACCTTTTCTCAAATATTGCCAATTCGAGAAAGAAAGAGAGAAAGTTGCGTGTATGCGCGTCTGTGCGTCTCTCTTTACAATGAGTTTACTTCAAAACTTTACTTTACAGTGAGTTTACTTCAAAAACAGCGATTATATCCCCTCGTTGCTGGAAAATATAATGTAGCGAGTATTTAAACTGTTATTTAAAAAAGTCGCGGGGCAGCGTTGACAAGTTTCTTTGCTCCTGGATGTGTGAGCTGCGCAATCTCCGATATAGGTGTGTGTGTGTGTGTCAGTAAGCAGCGCATTAATAATGAACGGTAAAGCTCTAATGCACACCAGCACACCAGCATAGGTGTGTGTATTGTAGAAGGTAGATGACGTATGATGACGTGTAACAGTGTAGTAGTGGTGTCCCAATTCTTAGGGGAATATTTTCACCCCTACCCTTTGACACTCTGTTAGGGGTAGGCGTAGGGGTATAAAATAGAATTGGGATTGGGCCTAAATGTGTATATATCGCTCAATGGCCAATCCATCCTATTTTGGGTACATTTTTTTAAAGTATCGGTTCAGGCACCGGTACCATTTTAAAAGTATCGATTTGGCACCGGTATCGTAGAAAACCCAAACGATACCCAACCCTACTGTTAACCATAACAAAAATATTATGACTGAGCAAAACATACTTGTGAATGGCACAAATCCCTGCCAGGGGCTGATGAAGAGCATAACCTACCTTCCTCTGAGTCCCACATCTCTGCGATTGAGGGTTCAGCGGCACTCGATTTCTTCGGTTCACAGAATCCACCCAAATCAGCCTGCCTGACTTTTTCCGACAGCTTCTTCCTTGCTTTAGGGAGAAACAGATCTATTTTTATCGTGATTTATCGTGAAACCGGTAATCGTTCCATCCCTAATTTTTAGAATTTAAAAAATAGATAACTTTCAAAACTTACTAAAGCAATTAGGTTTAGGTTTCTTATCTTGGCTGTCAAAACCTACAATAATTGAATCCAATGACATTTCATAGAAGTATATAAATATTTCATACAAAATAAACTGAAATTTCATAAAAATGTTATAAATATAAACTTAAAACTGTAAAGCACAAAGTTTTGGAAGAACATCTGGTACATTAACTAGAATAAAGAGCTCCACCTGCAAGATCCAAAACAAAACAAGTATGCCACAGCCTTCTTTTCTAAACAAGCAGCTCACCACAAAACCAGACTGACTACTCAGTAACTGCAGCACTGTGCATGACACAGGCAAAGAAATGCTTGTTTTCACACATTTAATGTCCATAATAAAATCTACACCACCATTATTACATAACTGTAGGGAGCATTAATTGTTACTGAACAGCAGTTGACTATAGTAGATTAATGGCGCTTTTTCACTGCATGGTACGGCTCGGTACGGTTCACTTTTTGGGGATTTTCCACTGGGTACAGTACCTGGTACTTTTTTTAGTACCACCTCGGTTGTGGTTCCAAGTGAACTGTACCTTTACCAAAACGTGACGTGTAAACTCTGCTGATCACGGATTGGCCGGAGAGAATCGTCACTACCTGCATCACTGAACTTGCGACACAAACACAAAAGAACCGCTAGATTTAAATCAGCACAGCCAGCGAAGGATCGAACGCAACTGTTTTGAACGAACGCACGTTTTTTTAACAACCAAAAAGTTTTGTTGTCTGTTGAGGAAGTACAGACGTTCCTCTCGTTGATAGCAGAGGAGCGGATCCAGCGAGAGCATGAAGGGGCGACGTGGAATGAAAAAGTTTTTTTCAGGAGTCGCGGCAATAGAGGCGGCGCAACTATAACAACATGAGAATAATCCCGTCCACTCTAAAGCGGTACTAAACTGCAGTGGAAACGCAAACCGAGCCGAGCCGTGTCGTACCGTACTGAGCCGTGCCGAGTGAAAAAGCGCCATAAGTTTAAGGGATAGTTCACCCAAAAAGAAAATTGTCATCATCTACTCACTCACAAGTCATTCCAAACCTGAATGACTGACTTCTATGGAACACAAAAGATGATGTTCTGAAGAACATAAGACTTTCATTACATGAAGGGGGGAAAACACATTGAGATATCCTTAAAAGTATATCCTTTTGATCTTCACAGAAGATAGAAAGTCATACAGGTTTGGAGTGATTTGAGGGTAAGAAAATGACAACAGGCATGTTGTCAAATTACATATGCTTTTATACACATTTACACAGAGGTTCACAGAAATTGTCTCAGCCAAGAAAAGAAACCAGCTATCAGCTGCTGTCCTTGTGACAAGGTCACCTGGGAGCATCTTATACAAAACCCAATTCATAAAACAGACACATTCTACTAACTTGGTCATCTGACCATACTTGTCAAACAGTCCTACAAATCCATTTCCTACTCTGTCCTCAAATGCTAATCTGTTACATTATCTACACAACCGTGAATGTTTTCAAACAAAATTCACTACATATTTCAATGCACAGAACATGCAAGGCTCGAAATTGCGACCATTTTGGTCGCATATGCTCCCGAAATTTAATCTGTGCGACCTCAAAATATATTTGGGAGCATTTGTGCGAGTGCATATAACTGTTGTCGTGCGACCGGTTTTAATTTCTCTAAAAACGTTCAGAGTATGTGCCTTCTGAGTGTTGATACGGTGACCTGTCTGCCGTTCTATGAAACGTTAGGCTACATAACCAATTAAACTTCATCTTTACATTCTTAACTTTAATGCAGATTTTAGATTGGTTAATATTAGCTGTCAATCACCCAGTCACTGCTTTCCGCTGTCAGGTGACGGAGCTAACTACCGCGGGGAATAAAAAAGGCTGAAGAAGAGAGAAAATAAAAAAATCTTACCATAATCGCGAGCTTCATCTTTCAAAATAAATGTAAAGACAGAGCCCGATTCCGAAAGGGGAACAGAGTCGCGTGAAAGACGCAGTGATGAAGCTGGTATGTGTCTGCAGTACACAAGCCACGGTTAAGACAGCTGACTCTGTGATGTGACCCTGTCTGTCTGTCTGTCTGTCTCTCTCTCTCTCTCTCTCTCTCGCTCACACACACGCGCGCGTCAGCCCTTTCTTTTTCTCGAGGTAGTTAGCGGAAAGCAGTGACTGAGAGATTGACAGCTAATATTAACCAATACAAAATCTGCATTAAAGTTAAGAATGTAAGGATAAAATCTGTTAATATATAATTTGTAGTTGTGGTGCTCCTAAATTTTTGGTGAGTGCTCCTAAATTTTTGCTGGTGCTCCTAACTTTTTGAAGTTGGGAGCACCAGTGCTACCAAGTAAAAAAGTTAATTTCGAGCCCTGACATGGCAAAGTCTTTAATGCACATGCAGACTTTTACAATGCCATTTTACTCTGCTTTTCGCAACATAAAGGATTTATTTACATATATAGTAAGAATGTCAACATGTTAATGACATTCAAAAGTTTGGCTAATTTGTTATATTAAGGATTTTTTTAAAAACTTTTTATACTTAATATTTTTTTGTTGTATAAAAGTATAAAATGTTTATATGTTTTTATAAACATTTTATACTTAATATCTCAATCCCTCACGATTTTTAGACGGTGTGACAGCAAAAGTTTGAATGTCATTAACATGCAAATATTTCGAGTACTACTTTTTCTTATATATATCTAAAAGTAAAATTGGACTTAAGCTAACTTAAACTTCGTGCATTTAGCTGCACTGTCATTGAACAGATGAAAGTCAAATGCCTATTTACTCAATGAAAGGACCAGTAAATGATCTTCTCAACAGCAAGTTTAAATCGTCCTTTTCAGTCATTCTTACATCAGTCTATAAAGTACATCCAGACCAGATACAACCACTTAAACTCAAAAATATATTTGTTCAATATTTTATAGTAAAGTTAATTCCCCAAAACGTTTATTAAATTATGTACAAGTTTATAAGTGTCAAATAAACGTAATGCAGTGATGTGCGACTCTCATGTCTAGCGGTTTTAGAGGTTAAACTCTGTGTGTTTATTTTATGGCTCATTTAGTAAAATGCTTTGCAAGGAGGGTCTGGAAGGTCATCTCTGTTAGTCATGGGTTGCGTTTCTAAACCTAGCGAGCTGTCTATCTAGATGGCATGCTCGGGCATCACAGGCGCGTTCGAACGTTTTAAATCGAACACTCGAACGTGTCCGTGATGCTCAAAATGCTCTCTAGGTGAGAAGTTCACTAGATTTGGAGACACTGGAATAAGGTCCGAGTCTTCAAGGCGGCTAACCGACCCGTTCATCAACATCTGGCTCAGTCGCGGGCTGATTTTCTTTTTAACAAAGTTGATTACAACAGAACGTCGTGCATAATTCCTGTTTCTGAATCATCTTCGTATGAAATGGGCGAATAGCCAGGTGGCTAACATGCTAGTTCCAGCTAGCGACTACAAACGCATCCAAACATATAATAGACGTGTTTTCGGACACCAGTTAGATATATCTATAGAAAAAAACACCAGGTATGAGCAATAAGAGGCTGTGTTTTCATTTTACCTCGCTTTGCTCTAGGTGAACTCTTCTTGCTCAGGTTGCTAGTCCTTTCTTCCTCTAATGCAGCTGCTATCTCAGGATTGTCTTCCCCATTGTACCACACGACAAGTTCTTCGTCCGGTCCGATTGGCTGATGGGGAGTACACGGACCAATCAGAGTCGAGCTTTTTGGCATGCCATAGAATGAAATACTATCTAGGCCTTGACGCTCTGTCAGGCATTTAGGAACAGACCCCCATAACAAACTAGGATACAGTATCAGACAGCTCCTGAATGGGAATTTGATAACATTTAAGTTACGTTAAAGATGCTTTGTTCATCTATCAACTACCACATACCTAGAAAAAGTGTCAAAATGTTTAATTTGTACTGGTAAATTCAGAAACTATTTCACAAAAGTTTAATATGCATACATTTAAGCAATATTTACAATCATTCTATATAAGTCCCATACATATTACTACTTTTCAAAGTTACATGAAATTAAAATCAGAGTTTTGTTGTATTTAGTCCATTATCTTTGAGTGCATTTATATACTAGTACAGGGGTTTTCAAACTGGGACCCTGAGGGGGCTGCAATTTTTTTTAAAACAAAATCACAATACAATCATGAGATTTATTCTATTAACCGCCCCTTTTAAACAGTAAGAAATACATTTATATAAGGTTATAATTTATATAGGTTTATATAAGCATACATAAAATTGTAGGCTATAAGTGCATTTTTCCTTCTTTGCAATGTACATACTTTCAAGAACAGTTTTTACTTGTTGCCTCTTGCTTGCTCAGTGGTGGTTCAATAGCAACATTCTCATTCATATTTAACAACACTTAACTGTAAAAAGCACAAAATAGGGAAATGCAACTGAATATAGTTCTTAGGGCTGCACGATTATGACAAAAATCATAATTGTCGATTATTCCCTTGAAATTGTAATTGTGATTATTAATTACGATTATTACAATTTACACTGAATGATGTTCATACCATTGTTTGATGCAATTGCATGCTGTATTTTTATATGAAAATAAACAAGCTGAAAACACTAACTGAAAAACCTTTAGTGCTTTTCTATAGTATTAAGCCTCAAATGTCAAATATACATCGGATTGGTTTCTTCTTTAAATTATAAAAAAAACTGAAATACAAATATGAATGGTGTTATAATGTTATACTAAAACAATGAAAAAACCCTTAAGATAACCTGTAGAAAGAAAAAAACATATCTTAAGCACACAGAATAACATAAGTGGACTTTGAACGATTAATTGCCGCTTTGAACTATTACGTAATTGTGGCATCCATAAGTGTAATTGCGATTAGAAATTAGATTAATTGTGCAGCCCTAGTAGTTCTCTTTCCGCTATACATCTAATATTAATAGTGGTAGAAAAAAACAAAAGTTGATACTAGCTAACTTTAAAAAATGCCTTTGCTTTAATACACTGAGCTAATTATTTAAAGCTAATTATTTAAAAATTTCATGTTTTTTATGCTTTTAAAATAAGTATCTTAATCTCCCCAAGGCACAGTTATTTGATTTGATTAAAAAGTACAGTAAAACATTAATATTGTGAAATATAATTCGAATTTAAAATAACTGTTTTCTATTTTAATATATTTTAAAATGTAAAGTATTCCTGTGATACAAAGCTGAATTCTCATCAGCCATTACTCCAGTCTTCAGCGTCCCATGATCCTTCAGAAATCATTCTAATATGCTGATTTATTAATATGACTATGCTCAAGAACTATTTCTTATTATTATTATCAATAAGAAAACAGTTTTGATGGATTTTTTGATGAATAGAAAGTTCAAAGGTTCCCAGAAATCTTTTGCGATAATGTAAAGTTGTTACTGTCACATTTTTTGTCAATTTAATGCCTCTATGCTGAATAAAGGTATTGATTTCTTTAAAAAAAAAAAAAAAAAAGTCTTACTGAACCCAAACTTTTGAGCAGTAGTACAGCTGATTAGTATTTTAGGAAAAGTGTACCCTGCGAGGGAATCATATTTTGGGGGTCCACCACATATAAAAGTTTGAAAACCCCTTTACTAGCATACCACTCCGCCGTATGTATCTCCTCCAGGCTCTTTGCAGCCATAACCTAACATGGTCAAACTCAAACCAATTCATCACATCTTAAAGGTTAACCTACCCTTAACACTTTGTAGTAAATAGCTCTGTTGATCTCCAGTGGAAAGAGGTTTTGCTCTTGAGAAGAGCGTGCCCAGTTCACATACCGCAACCAGTTTCCTTTCATTGGATCCGTGGCGTCTACACACATCCACCCCGAGGCTGGAAAATATACCTAATGATAATGAAACAAAATGCATTTAATTAAGGACCACTGCTAAAGCATACACTACCATTCAGAAGTTTGGGGTTGTTGTTTTTACGGTATTTTTGAATACCGCAAATAAAAGCAGACTTGGTGAGCATGAGAGTCTTTTTCATAAACATTCAAATCTTACAAGATCCCAAATTCTTGAACGGTAGTGTATATTGGTCCAAACAAGCTTTGTGTTCATCAGTGTATTCAGACTTCTAGTCAGGCAGAACTAGAGTTTCCTGTGTGTGGTGTCTAATACGTACCTCCCACATGTAAACATTGCTCGTCACTTGAGATCTCTTCTTTCGTTCTCCCACAAATGGTCCAAACCTTTTGCCTTTAGGTATTAATCTAGATGTCCAGACACCTATAGAAAGACATGGACAGCATGAGAAATCTTATGTAAGCAAACATTGGAAACACAAACTTTATTGTCTTCTCTATACATTCTTTTTTTTTTTTGGACTGGTTTTTGAGCTTGAATCCTCAATCAGAATGAGCCACTTTAAGATCTCCAGAGACACTCTCAGAGAGCCATTTTTGAAGCATATTCGATATTAATCATTTATCTGTGTATTTCTAGGGCACCGCCACAGCGTGCTGCGCATTCTCTATTTCAAACATCAAACAAAATAAGATTTGGAACATTTCATAGGCTTTCATCAAGCATAAAATACTAATGAATATTAATGCTAATAATGAACACACAACTTCTCGTTAACAGAGTCATTTATAAGTACTCAGCCATGCTGTTGCTCACCAATGCGATTGGGGTTGACAGCTGATGGTCCCAGCTTCATGCTGTTTGGCAGCCCCTTCCACACATGGGCTGGGATGTCATCCAAGGTTTCATATGTTCCTTGAGGCAAAGCCATTACAGGCTCAAAAGGGGGGGGGGGCTTTACAGTTTACAATGTGTTCCATAACTCTATATGTAAGCAGCGCTCATGGTACTTGCTTTTAGAGCAAAAGTATGAACCTTTCTGGGAAAAAAGCATTTAGCCTAAATGGTATTAAAAAATTAATTGTTTCACCATACCTGCACCAAGGATTTAACACTCAACTGAACTTTGAGCCCTTTCTTATTTCATGGATTCTGTAAAACAGAAAATAGGAGCAGTTATTTTCACCACGTAGAACAAAATAATCCTCTATGTTTATGATGCAGGATGGGACTTGCTCTCAAGCAATCCCTAAGGCTGAAAGCATGAAAAGACCATTTCAAGGTATGCTTAAAACCGCAAATACTCCTTCAGTAAACTCAAAGTCTCTGATATTTGCTTTTCTTTTATTTGCACTATTGTTTGAAAGTTTGGCATCAGTGTGATTTTTTTTTGTTTTGTTTTTTGAAAGAAACAATTCAGCAATGATGCATTAATTCTTTAGAAGTGAGAGTAAAATCTTTTAAATAGTTACAAAATATTTATATTTCAAATAAATGGTGTTCAACTTTCTATTCATCAAAGAATACTGAAAAAGAGGAATCATGGTTTACACAGAAAATACTGAACAGTTTTTAACATTGATAATAAGAAAGCATGTTTCTTAAGCACCAAATCAGCATTAGAATGATTTAATATCTGCTGAAAATTCAGCCATCACAGATATAAATCACATTTTAAAATATATTAAAAATAGTTCTTTTAAATTGCAATACTATTTGACAATATTACTGTTTTAACAGTTTTTTTTAGCAAACAGCTGCAGCCTTAGCAAGCATAAGAAATTGTAAATAACATTAAAATAACAAAAAAAAATCTTAACCCAAAAACCCCCAAACTTTTCAATGGCAGTGTTTTTAATTACAACATAATTCATTCAGTAAATTCGTCAACAAATGATCAAGTTGCTTTTCTAGCATCTTAACTTCTGAGAGGTTTTAGTAAGTGAAAAGGAGCCACCTTCAAGGTGTTTTTCAAACCAAATTGTGTTCTAACAGGTGTGGTTAGACTATAAACAGTATCTATTACCGGAGGCCTCACCGACATTACACGTGTAATTAACCCAGCCTCACATAATATCCAACCAACCACCTGAGAAATAGCCCTCAAAAAACATATTATTTAGTCAGGCATACAGGTGAAAATCCCACAGTTTTAGACAAATGATGATGCGTTTTGTTGTGGGTCTGCAGAGAATTCTTCTCATAGCATAAGAATAGAGCAATAACCAGAGCTGACAGGACGGTAAGTAGAACATTGTCATCAGGTTTGGATGACAGCTACAGAGAATAAGGGGAAATTGAGAAAACAGCATGACACACAAGGGGCCTCTCTGATGTGACACTGTTACATAAGCGTGGAGATCGGAGACAGATTCTCGGCTTCCGCTGGAGCATGCAAACCCAACACAACAGAAAGTGTGTTAAAACATGCTTTTGGAATCAAATTCAAATATCAAATTCAAACTGTTTTTGTCAGGATGGATGCTTGCAGAAATAATTCATGGCATCATTACACTCAAATCTCAGTAGTGAATAAAAATAGATGTGATTTCTAATTGGCAGAAGCCTACGTGTGGTCATACAGCCACAAAAAGATCCTTTCTCTCAGTCAGTAATAGTATTTGCGCTCAAGTGCAGTGTAGTCATTAAGGATTAATTATTTTATCTTGTCAGTAAAAAATTATTAGTCTGCAGCAGTGACCTCCTCTGAAGTCATAGTCTCATAAATGTGTGGAATAACTTTATAATGAAAAACTTAATATAACTTTTGGCACCAGCATTTTATTTAATCAATTTAACTCTACTCAGTAATTTTAATCTAACATTAAGATGGCTCTTTTTTGTCCCAGTATTTCCTAATCTAAATAAACCTGGCTTTGTATATTATGAATATTGTTGGCTCCTTGACAACTTAAGTTGCTTTAGTTCCACTTTTGCAACTCATTTTGCATAAAAGCATCTGCTAAATGCATAAATGCCAAACATAAACGTTTAAACTCTATGACACCCATTGGCCTGCATGCATGAGGTTTGCTTCCTAACTAATGCAAAGGCAAGCTGTTTGTTTTGTTCCTTCTCATCTATGCTCAAGCTACACACACACACACACTTAATGTGTTTTATTACGCAAGTCTATATGAATTTAATCTCAATTTTTTTATGTTGTTACTTAAGCTTCATAAAGCACACTGAGCACTGAAAGCACTATATAATTTATATGTTTGCTGTTACTCTTAAATAATTTTTATGTAAACAAAAGACAGATAATGCTGCGCTAAACAATACAATTGCACACACACACACAAACAATACAAATTAAACAAAACAAAATGGAGAGATACCATCATAATGGCTTAAAAATGTATTATTCTTAACATATTCCAACATGGCAGCGTCCATGAGAGTGCGACCCACTCTATGCAAAAAAACATACAAAACTGATAGGATTTCAGTCTTTGTCTCATGTGAATGTATCATTTAAAAAAAATACATTTCTCAAGTGTTTTTAATTTCCTTACGTTTACTTTTTTATTTAGTAAACAATTGCTGAGTGCACCTTTAAGTTCACCTCAGTAGTTACCAATAATTTCATCTGTACACCCTCCACTATCCTACTGTGTTTATTATATTTTAACACGTTTTCTTAAAACTATAAGTAAGAATACGAAAAGGATTGTTTGCGAGGCAGGAGCATGAATAAGATTCAGAGATGAATGAGAAGTATTTCATTGTGTCATCTTTGTTAATAACAGACGGTGACTGTGGGACAAAGAAAGAAGGCGTTTCAGCAGCCACAGCCGAAGATGCTTCAACTAACAGCGAAAAAGTTTCCAACTTCTTAAAAGAAACAACAGCAAAAACTTACGGTACGATATTTGGAGGTGGATTTTTATGCACCGACACACAATACTTATATGCTCCCAGCATAATTATAATAAACATTAATAAAAATAAATCGCAAAACAAGTACGGGTTGTATGCAAAATAGATGTAAAATGTATCCTTGTGCTTCAAATATTGTCATGGAAACCAGATGCTGTTAATTCGTGAATTAACCCAGCTTGTGCAAAGCTGCTCAGGTTGTATATCCCGACTTTCAGGCAAACAAACACACATCGCGCTTAAAACACACTTCTCATAGTCACATTTTCGCTCTAGGAATCTTCTATGAGAGAAAAAGTTCTCCAAAATGTTTCACCAGAGCCCTCGAGTTGCTTTGTAGACTGGCAGGACAAACAGGTTTTATTGTTATCATCAATCCGAGCACTCATAAGTGCACAAACCCGATGCAACTCACTCCGAGCAAGGTGTCCTCCTGCTTTCCAAGCCATTCAGTGCAGCGTTGCAAAGGCTTGATTGAAATAAAAATGTGAGCATGGTGTTCTTTGAACACTTACCTGTTGTGTTCACCGGCACAGTGTAGTTTTTGGTCTACCTGCTTTCCAATGTGCTGAAAATGGCGGATGGAGACTAGAGTTTATAGAGCTTCCCCAGTGTAACTGCTCGGTTGGGTCGCAGATTTGGGAGAGGCACACGACCATCACGATGGGCCATTGGTGAAAGTAAAGCTGGCGAAACCTGGACCATCACAAATCAGCTCATTCAAAGGGACATATAATGCCAAAATGTGCCTTTATTAGCTTGGTTTACCTAATGTGTTCAGTTGTACACTTTGCATAGAGGAGACTGGAGCTGATTGACATTTTTTTTCTCCAGTGAATATTTCTGAGGATGAGTTTATTTTTGTCCGTTTCTAAGTCTTAGCTCAAGAAAAGAAAAAAAAAAAGCTATTTAATGTTTTCACATTTATTGCCCAGGAAAAAAATTACTTGCTGAGTTTTCTGAGACAACAAAAATGCCCCACTAGTTATGGTCAACAAATATTGTAATAAAAATTGGCCCAGTATTTATGAAAAATGTCTGAGAGCACTGTTAATTTCAGTTTTTAAAATATTTTTAAATAGAGTTTGTGGTTTTATTGTGTTCGCTTTTTATTCAACGATTACAGCAAAATGGTATTTAATTTTTAATTTGGAGGATCTTAAATTAAAAAAACAAAAAAACAAAAAAATCACAAACGTACTCTACTTCATCAGGATATTTGGACTAATTTAAAGATTTCAGATTTTTGACTCGAAACCTTACAAGACCTTGTGACAGCATTCCCAAAATTATAGGCAAAATGTAGGCTAGTTAATATAATATATAGTCTTATTGAAGAGAAATGTCAACAAAGATGAACCTGGTATATAGCAAATTTGAGAGATGATCAGATCATAAACATAATCCAGATTTTCATATGGTTTAAAATATGCTGTGTAATGACATTCATCAAGACTATTGCTTTTTTATTCGGCCTGTACAGTAGTCTTTTCTTGCATTTTAAAGTAAGAAAATATTCTGTTTAGAATGCAGAAATTGCACTCAATATCAGATTTCATCAACTCTCTCTGGACATATATTAGATATAAGAAAAAGGGTGTTATAAAATAAATGCAACATGACACGTCATATTTGAAGTGGATAATGCCATAAAATGGGATCAAATATACAAGTGTAACATGATAAATAACTTATAAAGTAGGCAAAGAACTAATCTGAAGTGCATTACATTTAACTGTGTCCTCAAAATGCACAGTTTCCCCAGCTGGACTAATCCCAAATAACTGGTCTAAAGGTTTGTAGTAATTTCGGCCACTAGGGGGCACTGCAGATTTCAGTCCTTAGATTGAGTTTGATGCATTTGAATCTATCTCTTTTATCTTTTATCTATTGGGACAGAGAGAAAATTATCTGCTTGCTTTAAATGTTTATTAAATAATAAGAACAGTATTTAAATATTTTAGGATAATTTAACACCCTGACCGATAAATATGCATAGAGCCCTTCCTCCATTCTCAGAGAGAGCCGTCATCACCTGTAAAAAACCCCTTCTGTGTCTGGTCCACATGCTTACAATAGTTCACATCCCAAATAAATCCAGGCCCAGCGTTTCCTCTCATAAGTCTCATGTGTTATGGTGTGGAGAGTGACACATCTGCCTCTCTGAGTGATGCATGTTCCACATATGGACGTAATTTCTCTGCTTGACCCAACAACCATTCATTGTGAACATCCTGCACAACATGTGCTAAACACACTAGTATATACTAAACATGTCCTCAGAGACACCCACAGCTACACCAGTAACATGTCTATGAGGTGTCTTGCATGTATTTGCATACTCTGGGAATTTGTGATTTACTGATTTTTTTATTTTTTATTTTTTTAATTACACTACTACGTGAAAGAGAGGCATAAACAGATTTAAAGGTGACAAATAATTCGGTCTGACACTATTATAGCAATAGTTATAGTAAAACATTTCTTAAAAGGTACTCACCTTCAAGTCATAGATGAGTTTGTTTCTTCAACGGAACAGTTTTGAAGAAATGTAGCATTACATCACTTGTTCCCTAATGCAGAGGTCTTCAACCCTGCTTCTGGAGACCCACTGTCCTGCAGAGTTTAGCTCCAATCCTAATCAAACACACCTGAAGCACCTAATCAGGTTCTTCAGGACTGCTTGAAAAAACACAAGCAGGTGTGCTGAAGCAGGTTGGAAATAAACTTTGCAGGACAGTGGGTCCCCAGGAGCAGGGTTGAAGACCTCTGCCCTAATGGATCCTCTGCCGTGAATGGGTGCCGTCAGAATGAGAGTCCAAACAGCTGATAAAAACATCACAATAATCCACATGACTGTAGTCTACCTATTAATGTCTTGTGAACTAAAAAGCTGCATGTTTGTAAGAAACAAATTCATCATCAAGACGTTTTAACTTTAAACCATTGCTTCTGGCCAGAATATGAGTCTATAATCAATAATAATGTTTCTTTCTTCTAGTGAAAAAGTCCATCTCCTGTTGTCCTCTCAAAATCCACCGACATATTTAACTGTTTTCATTTATAAACAGTGCTTGACCTGTGCGTAGTTTTCACCTGATTCAGATAAGACAACTTTTTCCACTAGAGAAAGCAATATTAGATGACTCAAATTTTAGCTGAAAACGATTTGAAGTTAAAAACATCTTGATGAATTTATTATAAATTCACAGCTTTTCACTCTGTAAGATGTTAATGGATGGTCTGGAATCGTGTGGATTACCTCTGGGTTATTGTGATGTTTCTATCAGCTGTTCTGACGGCACCCATTCACTGCAGAGGATCCATTGGTGATGTAATGCTAAACCTCTGAGTTAAAGACATTTTCAGCAATTTGTTTATTGGTGAACTATTCCTTTAAAATGCTTCATTTGACCACTTTGTTTACAACAAGGTATGTTGTGTTTGGTCAGATGTAGATTATGATGCATTAATCCTACACCAATACTCACCAGATTCAGCACATTGTTTCTTGATCTGTGAAACAGATCACAGACCACAGTGATCAGAATCATAGAGAGAAGAATGCAGTGTCCAGAAGCAGACCTCAGCTAACCCCTCCTGAAAAGCACAAGGACTCTAAACCATGGCAGTGTTGAGGCTGCACACAGAAGATATTAGACTGCATGCAATGCAGAAAGTATGTGGCACCCTGGGCATCTAGATCATCCACAGGTTTCTCAGAATCACCTGGAGCATCTTTTGTTTCAGAAGATTCAGAAATTAATTTAGCATGGTTTCTTCTTTCTCTACTTTCTGCTGCTTTAGTAGGAGCAAGTTCTATTCCTTTTTTATAACACCCTGTTCATCTGTTAAAGCAGGGACAGGCTGTTCGTACTTTGCGATCATACTATACGACATACCAGGAAGAGATGGGAGCACAGGCTCCAAGTGGAGGAGCACAAAAGTTAACCACATGAGAGGAGTTTTGATATCCTGTCAGAAAAGCTGCACAGAAAGAACGTACACACATGTACACACAATGCAGCACTACAAAATCCAATAACCCTGATCTAATGTTTTTTTTGTTTTTTTTTGTCCAAGTAGCGCTTGACCAATTTGAACCCATTACAAAATCTGTTTGGAAATTTTTTGCCCTCACACAAAATTCCCACTTAGGTAAAATTCTATTAAAACTGACTTAATTCACCAAAACAGTTAAATGTGTTCGCACCATAAAATTGCACACACTGAGAGTACGAAACCTAATTATGTTAGCCATGACTGACTTTACAAATTAAAAAAAAATTTTTTTTGTAAAGTTCATGTCAGTTTTCTGTCAGTATGTTGCAAAAAAAATTAGTAAAAAAAAAAAAAAAAGAGATTAGAAACAAGCAGATTAGAAACAATTTAAAGTCGATCATCTACTGAAATATTCAGACATTCTGCAATATTTTACATTATGTTCAAATAAATCACTTTCGCAAAAATATAATTAGCGAATAATCTTACAAACCAAAGTTCCAAAATCACCCGCAATCAAGTGATTTCAGCAAAATAAATCTCAGAAGCAAGACAATAACAATAAATTTGTCCGTAAGTTTTACCGTATTTCTTTAACAAAAAAGATGGTCAGACTTACTTCCTGGAAAAGCAACAGCATTAAGGTGACATTTTGTGATCATAGTATTTGTGATTGCTCTTTTGCAGCAGACCTGTCCTGACAGACCCTCCGAAGTCTTACTCAAAGTTCACATGCCCATAAATTTGACATGGCAGAGAAAGACTTTTTTTGAAGGATTCCCACATCACATCATCCAAGACGCCATTGAGTTGAAGAGATTGATCAGATGGGGCCGAGGGCTTGATGCGCGTGTGAATTTTAGTAAAAAAATATATTTTAAAGTGGCTCTGAACGTAAGCTTTAGATACTAGAAATAGACCGCCAAGTCAGTGACAGCACCAGACCGTCTAATTCAAAATAGGTCGGTAAAATACCAAGGGACTGTGTGTGCTCTTCAGGAGGAAACTGGGATTACAAAGATTTAAGCGATTTCAAAGCACCATGGTGACTGCATCAAATACATAAGTGTGAGGAAATGCAAACTTGTAGGGGTCTTCAGACACTACAGCATCTTGAGAGAGCTTCTCAACGCTAAGAAAATCCAGACAAACAGGTTTTTACTGAAAAAGCAAGACGGCTAACCTAGATCCGCTGAGCAAAAACCGGCTAGTTAACAAGCTTATTGTTCTAACCCATTGTGACAGACAGCTGAAGCTCAGCTGCACGTGCACCATATGAGACTACAGCGTGTACAGAATGCTTTATTGAAAAATGAATCAGATTTCAAGTTTAATGTGAGAGTGCAACCTTAAAAGTTTTTTTAGGGTCAGTTGCTTTTATGTATCATGACATATGTGGACAATGAATGTCTTATCAGCTGCTCATGAAATAAATATGTAGGCACTAAATCTTGATTTGAATTGAAATTAAATTTTATAATTGTACCTGTATATTATCATTAGACCTTTGCTGAGAAAAAAACTGCAAAGCAATCGGCCTAGCAACAAGATGAACACAGCACAAATATTTTAATACTTCAGCAGTTAATGTTAGTTAAAAATGTAAAAAAAAATATAAAAAAATATTTGGAATCAGCAACAAATTCAATTGAAATGATAATATAAATTTTATCCATAAAAATGAAATTTTAGACGTTTTGGAGTATTCTGTGCAAGTGCTTCAGTTTTTGCAAAAATATGGAAATGAAATAAGTATCACAAAGCAGCAAAGATTCCACAGTGAAGTTAACATTTTATTTCTTTAAGTGCCATTCATGCATATCGGGGGAAGGGGTGGTATTGACAATCCTAATGACACTTCAGAGTTATTTTACAGCACTAAAACCAATACAAAGAGAAGCCGTGTCATCTTATTGGACAGCAAAAGTAATAAACCGTGCAATAACAAAATGGACGAAAAGGGGAAAATAAAGGAAACAACAAATACAAGTAATGACCAGGACAAAATCAAACAGAAAACAAAGATTAAAATAGAATATAAACACTGAAACACTGAATGTTGAACAATAGTACAGGTAAAAGGTAGTGTCACACAAAAAGCCAATGCATTTCCATCACATATATACAATATAGATATATACATACTGTCACCCTTGGATTGGACAATAACAAAATACTCTGTATTCATCTCCCTCTTTTCTTTCGCGGGTGAACCCGAGCCCTTGCCTTGATCCCTCACCACCCCAGAGGAAAAAAGGACAATCAAAAAGACATATATTTACAATAAGCACAACAACACACCAACAATGAATAAAATAGGCTCCAAATACCAGAACTTGTTGGCAGTTTTCTCCTGTAAATGTAACAAGGCTTCTCAAATCTTCCTTGATTACAGTAATCTCTCTGGCAGATGCATCCCCACTTGTTTTTAGTTCTTTTTTTCTCTTTTGTTTTACGAAAACGGAGTTGTCTTTAAACAGTTAAAACTTTCACACAACACAAACACAAAATCAGAGGAGCAATGTTTTTTCTTTTTCTTTTTTGAGGAAAAGAGGAAGAGAGAGAGAGAACTCATCACCCGTCCAGCTCATATTCTCTTGCGCTCCCTTGACGCTTTCTGTTCAGTCCGATCCTTCAGACTTATATTACCCTTCACTTGGGAAGGACGCCAAATAACCTGCTGCCTTAAATGTTGCAAAATTAAAACTTTCTCTCTTTGGCAAACAAGAGATCCAAACACATCACTACCACAAACAGATTGGCAATACATACGAAATATTTCCATCTGAAAACAGACGCTGCTTCTGTGGTCAACATCCAGACAAACCACGATCGAGGGTGAACACCACAGTATGGTATTAAAGTTCACACTGAGGGTGGATCGATGCCAGACGTTCACTCGGCAGTGAGCGAACGAGGTGAGATCCTGCTTGAGTTAATGAACGACATGAACGTTTGTGCTTCTGAATTCTTTTCAAAGTGCACAAATGACCAGATAAAAGCTCTCAAAGCTCTTTGTATGACAAACACTGAGGCTGGGTGAACAAGGCTTGTGAACACTTCACTAGTATCCAAACAAAAACATGAGATGGAAAGAAAAGAGGAAGAAAAGGATGCAGGGAGCCAAAGCAGATTTGGGCAATGAAGCTTAGCTTAAGAACAATGTGCACAGCATCGCAGTCTAACAAAAAACACAGACGCTAAACGGTCTGTCTGGGGTACAGTGGATAACTGTTCTGTCACTGTTGTGAGCAGACTCACAAATTCAGTTGGATTTCTGGGTTATGTTAGGCTTTAGTAATATGGTTTCGCCAATCTAAACCCCATCAGCATCAGAGAATCTGACAATTGATTATGTAATGATGAAGATGAACACGAAGAACGTTTGACTGGGTTCCTTAACCAATCAGAATCGTTTTAGCATGAATCTCTCAAAACCGGTCACATTTAACCCCAAATAAAAAGGCAGAAGTATAGAAATATTTTGCTCAAAGAAACTCATTTTTAAGACCATTAAGATTTTTTTATTCAAGTATATTGTTGTTTTATTTTACAATAGAGTAATTTCTAGTAATGTAAAGAAAAAAAGCAAAATAAAACAGTATTTTATTTTTATCAGTATTATACTGCCTTTAAGATGAATTTAATTATTCCGATTTTTTATTCAGCTGAGAACAACGGGAATTACAAAAAGAAAATGTCTGAACAGATCACAGTAATGAGAATTTTGGATGGGAGATTTAATTAAATGTCAGAACTCCAAATCTTAATGGTCTTAAAAATATTCTTTATGTAAACCATAATTTCTTTTTCCTTTCTGAGTTTGAGGTTTAAATGTGTGTTTTCGTGAAGGACATACGACAAACTGTTAAAGGTTTGGTTTACGACATTAAGGGCCATAGGGATCAAAGGCCAAAACATTTCAACGACTAGTGTAAATGCGCTGTTTAAGAGTTTATAATACTGAAATACAAAAAAACATAAAAGATTGTCATAAGATCATTTTACTTTTCCAAGTCTATTAGCACTTACACTTTGATGAATAATAAAACAAAACCCATAAAGATGACTGAAAACTACTGAAAACCAAGGAGACCAAGGTGTCAGATCTACTCCTTCCCTTTTCAACCGCGTTTTATGGCTTTTCTAAATCAGCCCTGCACTCTAAAATTTGGTCTAAAAGAAGTGCTACTTCTCACCGAGAAAAACCCTGCTGAAGGTCAAAAGCATGGACCTATTTCTAATTTGGGTTCCGCTATTCTAGTCCAGATCTTGTGCATTAGTTTTGTGCTCTTCAAAAGAGATGATTGTAATCACTGATAGCCATAAATTAATTATATTGCACAAACACATTCCATAAAATCGCTGATATAATAACATGACACTGTGGTTGTTAACTTAGCAGACACTTTCAACTAAACTTCTCAAAATATAGACTGTAGGATGCTAATTACAGTGACAGTTGCTTTAGGGTGCTACGCTTGATAGATCAGGATGCAGTTACTGTCTAGTTCCTGCATTCGTTTCTTTTTTTGAAGGACAGTCTGAATGTGTGTGATTTTAAACTTTGCACCACTTCTTAGTAGCAGTTAACATTCCTCCAAAATAAGGCTATTAGTGTATCTAAACATTTCAGTCATCTCCTTTCTCTCACTATTACACTACACCCAGCATTCAAAAGCAACAGCTAAAGTGAAGGTACGCTCTCTGCTAAAAGTCCTTGTCAGTGCAGCAAAGAGCAAGCGATTTCATGTCGGTTGGTCCTAGCGTTAAAATAAAGAGGGCTCTTTTATTGCGGACCATTAAGCAAATGTGCCTTGACCTGATTCCCATTTCCTTCTCCACGCTGCTGTAAAGAGCCACACAGCAGGCTGATTTCGCAACGTGAACAGGGCTCTCTGGTGTCCCACAAACCTCCGGTCAGGGAGGTGATCACTCCTAAACAACGCAGGACATTTTCAATGGCAGGTCCTGAGAGCTTTCCGATCGGGAGACTACAGGTTGACGGGTGATGGTCAACAGAATGAGGATTGTGCATGCAAACTTAAAGCGATGAGGAATAGTGAGGTCTGGATCGATATCATTTTCTGACGCACACGTTCAGACTTGCCTAAAACTATTAGTGACAAAAAACATGACACACTTCAGACAGCAAAGATACACAAGTACAAATACTGCAGGTAATGTGGTTTACACGTTTCGTTATGAGCCTTAACGATCAGTCAAATCTGCTGGCGTCGGATTTGGATGCATGGCGACTTTAGCATTTTACAGTGTGTAAGGTCGGAGGAGCAAAAAAAGGGCTACTTGTGCCTGAATGACCAGAGAGAAGAATGGCAGGTGCTTCGAGTGTCACAATACCTGCACCATTGGCCCTCTTCTGAAAAGTGCCCGGCATCGCAGAGTAAGTTTCACAACACAAATGAGGGAGCCAATCTTGTCTGATAGGCGGTCAAGGCCTGAGTTAGTCACCATGAGAGGGGAGAACAAGCTGGACGTAATCACTCGAAAATTCACTGAACAACAGTTGAAGAGCAGGGGCGAGCTTGGCGGGTTTGTAGAGAGGCTGTGGGTTGGGAAACCTTTTGATATAAACATGAACCACTTGCCCCTTGGACAAGCATAAAAGCGATCACTTAAACATGTCCTTGTAAATGTGATTGTCTTCAAAGTAATATCTTTTTTTTGTTTGTTTTTGTTTCATAAAAACACCAGGAACACAGGAGTCTCTTTCATGTCATAATGAACAACACCTGCACTATTTTTTAAGTGTCCCATTCCAATCTGCCTTCTGTCACGGGCATGCAGACACCTCAGGTCCAGCCCTCTTGCACTGTAACACAAACACTCTGCCTCCATACGCTCCTCTCTCGTTTGTCTGCACCACTCTTTGCTCTCGGGGACTGGGTTAGACGATGGAGTCCCAGTCGAAGTCGTCCTGGATGTCGTCGGCGGGCATGCGGCGAATCTGGAAGCTTCCAGCAGGCATCATATGCTGCTGGTTCATCTGAGCGTGATGGCCTGAGGGCAGAGCAGAGAGGAACTGTCACGACGTACAGATTCTTCGACATGCAGAAAATTGTATTCCTAGTCATACTGTGGAAATATGCAACACAAACTGCTAATGAATTTTAGTTTTTAAACACTGGATCCTGTTCAACATAATGCTCAAAATAGAGGTAATTTTATTCTGGTTATAAGAGCTGAAAAAGACAAGGACCTGTCATAGTGGGGCCAGCGCTGCTCATGGGCGGCATATGAGGATATCCTGGCGGACCCATCATAGAACTTAAGCTCTGTCTCGAGTCCATATACATGTTTCCTGAAAAACAAACTGATGTTACTAAGCTATTAATGTGTTAGTCTTAATATGTGATACTGTGAATTTTAGTGATGAATAAGCCCATTCACCTGTGTTGATGTGTGGGCTGGGCTTGTTTGGATGCATGGAGCCATGGCACACTGGAGGCTGCACTGCCCCTTGTGGCTGGATTCCAGTGCGAGCAAAGAACTGATTGATGGAGGAGCAGAGGTCTGCTATCTGAGTGGGTTCGAGAGACCAGTTATTCAGCTCCGCCTGCCTCATGCTCTCTTTCAGACCTTCAGAAAAACGGTGAGAGATTATTTAATCACTCTGTGCAGTTGATTTCTCAAAATTAAATGAAACGCCGTAGAGCATTGCAACACACATTTAAAATAAAAATATTATATAATTATATAAATATAATATATAAATATTGATATATTTATATTTAAATAAAATCATTTTAATTTAAAAAATATTTTAAAAAGCTCAAATTCAGTGTGCATAAATTATTTAAATATTTATTTTTTATTGATGAACAATTTGAAGAAATGTTTTATTAATAAATAATAAAAATATTTAATAACTAAATAATTTACTATTGTCAAATACAACTCACAATGCATCATTATATATCATATTAAGAGGAAGTTGTACAAAATTAACAGCTTAAAATACCAAAATAATAAACAACTTTTTAATTAGCAGTTAATCTCTTGGGAAAAAAAATGACAGTGAATTTAGTATATAGATAGGTATTCTGATTATACCTTGGAAGGGTGACAGATCAACATCAGCCCAGTTGTAGCTGCTGGCGATGCGGCAGCTTTCTTTTAGCGCATCCAGGTTGGGGTACCAGTCACTGGGAAGACCTGCAGACAAAACAAGAAGATAGTGAAGGCCACAGCAGCACTTCCTGTTTGAGGCAGCAGGGGGAGCCATAACCCTCTGCTACAGGCCTGCTCCCTGAAGTGTGCTGCATTTGCTTTGTTCTCATTAGAGCAAGCAGTATAAAATCACCCTGTGATTTACTGCTGACTGCTCCAAAGTTGCCATAAATTTCTTAATCTAAAATAAATGACTGTTAGAAGAGGCCTGAAGAAATCGGCCTGTCACGGCAATGCCAGCGTGGAAGGAAGTACGCTGAGGGTTTGAGACAGAAAGCAAGAGGAAAAGAAGAGAGACGATCAGATAGCAAGAACTATCACAGACACACAGACTCTTACCGGTGTTGCACTGCATCTGTTGCTGGCCAGGATGAGGCTGGTGGGAGAGATTCTGGTGCTGCTGCTGCTGTTGCTGTGGCGTGTGTTGGCCGTGGGCCTGGTGCTGGGAGGGATGCTGCCCGTGCTGGCTGTGCTGGGGATGTTGGCTGTGCTGGCTGTGCGCCGTGTGCGGGTGCTGGCTGTGCTGGGTGTGAGGGCCATGCTGGGAAAGGTGCTGTCCATGGGGCGAGTTGTGGGCCGAGTGAGGGGGGTGGGAGAGAGGCACCTGGCTACCGCTGTTGGGGATGTTGTTGGGGTGAGAGTTAGTGATGCTGTTCTGGTTGTTGTGAGGGTGGGTGCTGATGGTGCTGCCGGGGGAGTGTTGGTAAGAGCAGGAGGTGTGGGTCTGCTGGGACGACTCCGAGGGCATTCCCATCAAACCTGTAAGGATCAAACAGATAGCATCATTTCAAATAGGCTGCCTGCATCTCATCAGAAGCCCTTCCATCATGTCAACGTAGGCTTTAATAATTTATATTATGATTGCATATGTAATACAATAGTTAACATGGAGTAACAAGGCACAATTTTACAGCATTTATTTATAGGCTTTAATACTTTATATTAAGGTTGCATATGTAATACAATAGTTAACATGGAGTCACAAGGCACAATCATTTTACAGCATTTATTTATCTTCTACTTATTAATCTTAATGTTAATTTTTTACATTTGCTTTTTTTAAACATTTTTAAAAGTTTTAAAAAGCATGTTAACATTAGTTAGGCACAGTATGCAAATTTCTACATATACAAACAGATGTTTAAGATGTTTAAAGTTTAAAAATGCATATGTTACCATGCACAAGCAAAATATAAGTTAACAAAATGATACATTTATTTTATATATATAATTTTTTTTTTTTATTAATATTAGATCATATCAAAACTATTTTTTTATTAGAAAAATAACATTATACATCATCAAACAAGATTACTAAATGCTGTAATAAATGCATGTTTACTGCCATTTCCCAACACTTCACACATTAAACACTAATTTCATTTTTAGCTTATCTGATTGTAATTTATTCATCTTGTTGGTTGAATGGATCTGGAGCATTATGCATACTTTGTTTATGCAGAAATCCTGATGTTTTTATGTCTCAAGTAATGTCTGATGTGTTTACTGATTCATCTTGGCCATGGGAGATTATGTAGCTGAGATCGTCTGATTCAGGATTTCACAAGATACGAAAATCATAATGTTGTTTTATCTCTTCGGACAGGAAGTGCAAAGACCCTAGTTGTGTTTAATGAAAACGGAGACGCCCCTGGACGCTACGACATCTACCAATATCAGATAACAAACAGGTCGGCTGAGTACAGAATCATCGGCCACTGGACGGACCAGCTGCATTTAAATGTAAGGAGTTCATCTACGTTCCTTTTCAAGTGTACTTAAATGTTAGAGGCTGCCTATAAAACAGTTATTTACTTTGGTAATGATGATTATGGTGTAGACGACTGTCATAATGATTATGGCAATTACACTGTACAATTAGTGGTGTTGAATTAACACCCGTAATTCAGAAGTAACTTTTTTTGAACTATCACCCAAAAGCCAGTATTAGTTTTCCTACACCGTTCATAGGCTTGCAGCCTCCATGTTACAGCTAATGCTGTGAGATTTTATGTTTGTTTTGTCTTAAACATAAAATAACCTGATCCTGTTTGATCGAGGCATGCGACTGTTCTGACTTGTCCAATTTTTAGCATCAGTTTTTCATCTTGCATCAAAATTCTGTCTATTCATTGTATGCATTTGAAATATATAGTGGGGTTTTGTTTTATTGTACCCAAGTGTACCTAAAATAAAAAGTGTTTAATATACAGGTTTGTGGCTCTTAATTTCCTATTAATTAACCATTTGTAATCTTATGTTCACTGTTCATTTTTTATAAATATAGGATTTGTCTTTGATGGTCAAAGCTGTAGCCTGGATACTCTGCATACTCTTGACTAACTGAGCCATTGTGCTTGCATAGGTAGCACGAGTTTGACTCCAGCTTGCAACTTTTTCTGATCTCGTTCCCTACTTTTCCCATAATCATACCTTATCCTGTTGTTCAGTTTTTTTTATCAGTGTGGTAAAAAAGGGCAAAACATTTTGAAAACATTTGAATCTGTCTTTTTAAAATGCACTGGGGTGCCGAGACGGTGACTCAGCACAAAGTCGTCGTCTGCTCTCTCAAATCACACCAGAATTTCTCTCTACAACTTTTCATTCGTGCAGCAATTGTTTTGAACTAGTTTCTAAAAATGCCTGACAAGCTTCCAACATCTGCACACTCAATAGCAATCAGCGAAGCGTGCGGCTCGCGGTCTTAAGAGGCCCTGTCCATCATGGAGCTGGCACTGTAAACCTATTTCGGTGGAGAGCTTTTAGAGCAGACTGTTGGCCCTGCATCACTGCAATCGCCAGAGAACACTCATCGGCGGGGTGACAGGGGTGCATCTCTTATCAGCAGAGGAAGCCTATTGTCCAACCATGGGAGAGCACAGAAAGCAATTAGCTAGCAGCCCCCCTGAATAATAATGCGAGTTCATTACCTATTATCAAAGCCAGTGAATTAGCTCAGTGTCTCCAGCAGTGGGGTGTGAAATCCTCTCGCCAGCTTTATTTGCTCATTTTAATTGCCCAAGCTTGTCTGACTAAGAGATTTCACTTTTATGCACATAAAAGGTAACAACTTTCAGCTAATGAAACATAGATGATAGATTAAAGAAGTTCACTTTAGAAACAGTAACATGAAAAGCATCTGATCTGAGCAAAGTAGGTTAGACGCGGGGGCTCGTCTGGCGTTGTGTGCAACCCGCTTGTCAAGTGCTTTTTGTACATCAGTCATTCAGATTACAAACAATAGGAATTAACTTTGACAACTCGCAGTGAACTAAATCTAGCACTGCACCATTCTCATATCTATTTGATGGGCTGCCATTTGAGTTGGAAAACTCTCTTTCAATGAAAAAATCTTATAGTACAGTGAGCCAATATCATCCTTGCGATTCATAAAAATGCACACAAAAATGGCTGTTAAACATGACCTTAAGAAAACATGAATGCTTGGGGAAAAAAAGGTACATCATGTTTTCCTAATAAATCCTCAAAGAACCCATAAACAGAAAGTTAACTGTGATTTTAAAATGCTGAGTTAGATAAATTAAAATACTCTTTTTTTTTTTTTTTACTCCTTTTTAAGTTACCAGCGTTTGATATAATAATTAATAGTATTTATAATTACATAAATTATATATAAAATATTAATTTATAAATTATTCTACCTACATTATAAATTATAAAAATTTAATATATACAACAAATAATATGAATAAATAACTATTTATAATAAAATAAAAGTTTAGAATATAATACTACATTATAAATTAAATGAAGCTTTGATCCATTTTGATCCATTAAGTTTTGATAAATAAAATTACATAAATTATGCACAAAATATGAATCTACCAATAAATATAACTATTCTTAATATTAATATGTATAATTCAATAAATATTATGAATAAATTATTATAAATACTACAAAATTATTTATTTTGCAATATATGCAGTGGTGGAGGTAACGAATTACAACTACTCACGTTACTGTAATTAAGTAGTTTTTTCGGGTACTTGTACTTTTTTTAGTATATTTTTAAAGCTGTACTTTTACTTGTACTTAAGTACACATTAAGCAAAATAATCTACTTCGTTATTTTTAAATCATAGTTCGTTACTGAGTACGCCCACAATTTGAATTGATATTCAAACCTTTGACGACACGTCAGTAGCCAATAAAGATATCCGACCGTAAACGGACCAATAGAAGCCCTGATATCTGAACCGGGAAAAGCCGCCGCTGCAGCAGGTGAAGAGCTGACCAGACAGTGAGGGAGCTCAGCGTAATCTATGGACGAACTTATACAAATGAACTGCCTGTCCTCTCACTCCGATATTGCTTGTGCGTACTCAGTCTGTGTGCAATCGCGATCTCTCCGTGCTAGAAAGTATTTGTCTTTGCTCCTGGATTAAACTTTGTCAAAATGTATCAACCATTCAGAATAGATCCACGCCTGACCGATGAAAATGCTACTGGAAATTTTATTGGCTGTAAGTGAAATGCACCAGAAAGGTGCCAAAACAGTACTTAAGTAAAGTTAGAAATCAAATTCCTGTATCATGACCACTAATTCACGTATTTGTCAATAAAATAAAAGTGGGTTTTATTCAAAGTAGCTATTATACACATAGGTCTTTGATGTGAATGAATATTTTTTGGTAATTCATTAAATATCGCCGGCTAAAAAGTAACTAGTAACTAGTAGGGTTTTGTTCAAAGTAGCTGTTATCCACATAGATCTTTGATATGAATGAATATTTTTTGGTAATTCATTAAATATCGCCGGCTAAAAAGTAACTAGTAACTAGTACTCAGAGTAGTTTTTGAGATGAGTACTTTGTACTTTTACTTAAGTACTGTTTTGGCACCAGTACTTTTACTTGTAATTGAGTATTATTTCAGCAATGTAACAGAACTTGTACTTAAGAACAAATTTTCAGTACTCTTTCCACCACTGAATATATGGCACTGAATTCCTGAAAATGACACTCACACAGCAGGCCCATACACAATCTGCAAGCTCCGAATTCTGCAAAACTGAACAGTTCCACACATTCTCTCTGCATGTAGGTTTATTAATTATTTTGGCTGATTTGTTGACTTGGCCTACAGTTTTTCAAGCAGTTTGATGGCATGTCCGAGTGTAAAACTCACCCTGTTGGTTGTAGGACTGCTCAAACACAGTCTTGTAAAGGCTGCGGAAGGAGGCACTGAGATCTTCAAAGTCAGAGAAGAGCAGCTGCTTGTCGCGTTCCGGTATGTTGTACTGGGACTGAGGGGCCTGCTGCAAGCTCATGGACTGGGACACCGGCTCTGGATGACTTGTCACCTGAAGGGGGAGGAGAGGAGAATGACTGTTGTGTGAGGGGATGAACACAAGATTAGCAACAATGACAGAATTCAGCCTTGCCACTCTAAACGGCAGCGCTGCTCAGCCAGGCCCAGTGACCGGCAGATTAGAGCTCAGATGGAACATGACAGCACTGACTACAGCACTCAGCATCATGGCACAGGAAATGAACTGCCAGACACACTGCAGTACAATATGCAGGAGCGAAATCAAGTGCACAAAACCCCTCCAAATCTTGACCATTTATTTACGAGCACTGCTTAATTTCTACATAACCTTACAGCCATGATCAAAACAGACACGTCTCCTGAGAGACTCTCTGAAGTAGTTTTTACAGCTATTTATTTTGTAATTAACAACTTGGCGATACTAACTGAGCAACACAACCGAAATCGACAGCAAGATCATAAAAGCTAGCCTGCAAAAAAATAGGCACTGATCCATAAAACAAATCTTTCCAATGATAAATATCCTTCTAAATAAATACAGTACAGGTTTGCCCATCAAAACGAATTAGCTTGTGTGTCTAAACTCTCACGTAAGTGTTTCACTCTAAATGGGATCTGCTCACTGTTTTGAGTCTGAAGAGATGCCTTTCATGCCCAGAATGAGAATGGCTCCCAAGGCCTCCATAATGCCGAGCATATTTGTGGCGTACACAAGCATTACCGTGGGAAGTAGGGGTGCTGAGGGTGCTGCAGCACCCCCTGGAGTGTAGCCCACGAAAAAATGGGGGTGCGGTGTTAAAAGTGAATTAATGAACAATATGTAATACAAAATAAATAATATTCATTTTATTAATTAGTATATTCATTAAAATTCATTGAAAAAAGTAGCCTAACCCTACAATGACAAGAAGCAACGGTTAAATATGAGTTAAGTTGATCTTTAACGTTAGGTCTTTCCTATTCTTGAAACAAAATTAATTCTTAAGGTTGATTCAATATTACTCTTAATGAAAAACACACACACAACATCAACAATGCTACAATGACAAAGTCGCTTATATTAAACATAAAACTTTTATGAACAGATAAGAACAAATAAGATCAGTGGCGTAGCGTCTGGTGATGCAGGGTATGCAGGTGCATATGGTCCCGGGCAGTTTGGGGACAACGAGGGAACGAATAGAGCCCGGCCCTTGTCCAACAGCTTTATGAGAATTCTCGGCCCGAGTCCGACTGGATACCGTGACTTTTCTCTCTCTCTCTTTCCCATTACACAGCTATTAAAATAGTTCAGTTTTGGTTTTTAAAGGCAAAGTGGTCATATTTCTTTTTGTTTCTTTATAAAGTTAATTTAGAAATATGTTTGGAACATTTTGTGTTTGTTAAATTCAAGTTTTTGTTTTTTAAAGGAACGACCAAGCGGCAGCGGCAGACAGTGAGTTGAGCATTATGTTTGATCAATTTAGCCTTCTCAAACCAACACGACTTGTCTAAAATAAAAAGACATAAAACACTTCATGCATTTCACAGTATTAATTTAAACATTTAACCAAGATAAACGAGCGCTGTTAG